TCGTGGCAGAAGCGCCAGAGGCAAAGCAGAAACATGCGCTGTCTCCGAAGGCCTACCCTTAGGTCCGGTGCACTTGTCTGCACTTCTCATTCTTTCGGCCAAAGCAAGTCTCGTGACCCAGCCCAGTGTCAGAGGGCAGGGAAGATGCTCTCCTCCCAGCGCCCACCCCGCCCCCGCCGCGGGAAGGACCAGTCACGTGATGCGGAGAGGGGGAGAGGGGCAGCAGCTCTATACAATGTACCCCAGAGCCCGGATAACTCCAGTGGCATCTGGGAGGTCAAAGGCGTCCGGGCAAACTCCGGAGGGCCACTGGGCTTCTGAGGAGGGCAGGGTCCCAATGGAGAGTCCAGGGGGTGCTTCACGCAGGAGGCAGCACAGGGCCTCTGAGCTGGACCTGGACAGGACAGAATGAGGAAGGACATTCCAGTAGATGCAGCAGCCCGAGCCACACCTCGGAGAGGTACACGGAGAACAGGAAGTGGCGTCTGCAGAGACAGACTGTCCACTGGAGATGGGCTGGAGCGTGACGAGGGCCAGACTGTGGAGGTAGACGGGGGTCTGATGCGGGAGGGCCTGAATGCCAGGCGAAGGCGCTTGGCGGCATTCGGTGGGCGCTGGGGAGCCATCGGCGGTGTCCAAGCAAGGCGGGGACCTGAGCACCTTTGTAGGAAGGGAGCCAGGAGCAGCGAGTACGCAGGACAGACAGGCTCAATGTGGGGGACCCGGAGAGATGGGGAGGGGCCGAACTGCAGCGACCACAGGAAGGGGAGTGAAGGGGCACAGTGCACAGAAACAGGGCGTCAGTGGCCCAGGGGAAGGACTTGGGTCTCGTTCAGATCATATCAGGCTGATGACCCAACAGCGAGGCCCAGGGCCACCTCCAGCCAAGGGGGCACGTGACATATTGGGCTTGGACCTTTGAGTAAAACCGTCCCATTTCCATCTCTGAGGCCTTTCCAGATAACACCCACCGCCAGTCACCTCCCGCTCCGCGCCCTCACCAGGCCTCACATTCGTGCACTTTCTACCCAGCCCGGGGCAGAGATTCCCCGTCACCCAGCCCGGTGGCAGGCGGCAGCCACCTGTTGCAGGCTCATCGCGGGGTAAACGGCTCAGCCTCCATCCAAAACCCACTCACACTGGCCGCCTTTCTAGATGGACTTTCTGACATCATGGGGTAACCCGAAGTGCCCCTGGAGTCGTGACCCTAGAATGGGGTCTCGGCATAGCCTGACCCCAAAGCTCAGCTCATCCTCAAAGCACCTTCCCAAACCCGTTCAGGACGCGCTGTGAGGGGAGTCCCCGTACCCTGCATGGGGAGTGTAGCGGAGTGGTGTCCAATAGCAGGCTTCTGGAACCTTCCAGAGCCATTCGTGGGTACTGGAGGCACAGCCCAGTGGTGATGGGGGGAAACCTATCTGCATGTGCTAAGGAGAGGTCTCCTGAGACCCCAACCCCTTCACGTGGGTGGTGGTCACGTGCTGTGCCACCCGGGCTCCCCCTGCCCGCCCCCGGCAGACACAGCTGGGGAAGTGGCGGGCAGGGGCTGCAAGCTGGAGTCCCGCCCCAAATAACGAAAAGCCCGCCCGCCCCTCTCCACCCGTGGTTCCCGGGGCGTGTGCCTGGCACTTGGGGTGTCAGTGGAGGCAGGGTCTGGACCTGAGGGGCCTGCAGCACCCCGGCCAGCGCCCCCAGCCAGCCCCAGTGCTGGAGCCGGCCTGGCCAGCCACATGGCGGATGTGCACTTGCCTGGGCTTTCCGGGGCAGTGGTGCTCGTGAATAATTCAGCCTCTTTCACCGAGACGAAAATGCCCTAATAGGACTAATGGGCTCGCTGACTCCAAGCCCGACCCCAGGGGACGGTCTTCATTCACCAACCGCCTCTGCCTTCTGCAGTGACACTGCCTAATGAAACAGCCGCTGCACTAGCTCCTGAGAGCGGCTGGTGAAGCTAACAAACTAGACTGTCCTTAGCGAGCGGACTCCGGAGGCCAGGTGAGTGGCCCCGTCGACACCCGGAATCGCGCAGCGCCTTCTTCGGGGGTGCTGCCCGGGACCAGCATCCCGGGAACGGAATAACGGAGGGGGGGTGTTCAGGGGGTGCACTTGGCTGCTCAGAAATTAGACCCTCAATATTTTCCAAAGCAAAAAAAAAAAAAAACCTCCCCAAAAGTGGCCGAGGAAGGGGGGGCGGGCAGGCCACCACCGAGCCTGCTTGCTCCGGGGCCCCGCGGGCGGGGACCGTCTGTCCGCCATCTGCCCGGGCACCCGCTTGCTCCCCGCCGGGCTCACCACCAGGATGCAGCGTTTTCAGGCTTCCGGGTGACAGCAGGACATCTGGGGGCTGGCCGGACGCACGCAGGCCTGAGCGCCGGGCTGCTGGGCCGGGCCTTGGCTTGCCGGCCGCGCTGGAGCAAAAACGCTTGTGCTTCTGCCCTGACGCCGCTTCCCTCCGCCTTCCCGCTTCCAGGAGCTCGGGCCGCTTTCCCCAACGTCCAGACGAACGTCGCCGTGGGAAAGAGGTGTCCGGGCTCATTCCCGCACCTCGCGCTTTGGCGGCTTCCGGTAGACAGACCCCAGTTCAGAAATTCCAGGTGAAGGCTCTCCAGGGAGGTCAGGCTCCCAGTCACTTAATGAGGTCGGCGGCTCGTCTCCTCTTCCTGAGTCACGCGCTCATGGGCGTGTGAGTCCCCCGAGCGCCCCCCCGCCCCCCGCCCTCCGCAGGAACGGATCTGCAAGAGGCAGGCCCCAGGCGGGAAGAACCTTGGGCGCCCCGTAATTAGTAATGGCTATTGAAGAGGGAGAGATTTGGGGTCACTGTGCTTTCCAGCTCTGAGAAGGAGTGAGGGGGCTGGCAGGAGCCCCAAGGACAGGCTGAGCTTGCCCTCCCTCCTCCCAGCACTGTCCTCCTGGGGGCCCTTTGTCCGAGGACCCGACCCTGCCCCATTCGCCTTCAGAGGAAGCAGGAGTAAGCTCCAGCATGAGAAGGACACGTCCTCTCCCGCTGGCCGCACTGGCGGCTGTCGGGGTCCCTCTGTGCTGTCCGTGTCCTTCCTCCTGTGGGGCCACACCTCCCTCCAGGACCTCAGGAAGGGAACGCTTCCCAGCCACACCTTGCCCTGCGCCCTGTGCCCGTCTGGTTAGGAAAGTGTGTCCTCTGCAACACAGGGTCACTATCAACACCCGCGTTTCAACCCTGCGAACACCTTCCAGTGACGCTGGCACCTGCATGGCTCGTGTCCCTCGAGCCCGTGTCACGGCTGCCCTCTCGCGAGGCCTGCCCTGCCTGCCGGCCCCCGTACCCTCCACCGTGTTTGGTGAATCTTTGTCCTCATGCCATTTATCATACCTGGTGTCATATCCCACGCCTCGTTGCTGGCGGCCACCTGCCCACACAGGGCTCCTGCTGCAGCACCGGCCCCTGCCCAGCTGTCCAGGCTGGTTCCATGCAGCCTGAGGCAGCCTATGAAGAGGCCTCTGCTTGACCCACTTCACGGCCATGGAGACTGAGACTTAGAGCCACCTAGGCACCTGCCTGCCTCGCACTGAGCGGGTGACAGTCAGAGCACTTAGCCACACTGTCATCCCAGCCCCGGGGCCTTGACCAGGCTTCCAGAGCCGATCTAAACCAGGGCACTTTTCCATGGGTGACATCTTGAAAGCTAATGGCTATCGATCTCGGCCTGGCTGGGCCCTGCCTTTCGGGCAGAGCCCCTGCAGCTGCAGCCAGCCCACTGGTCTCCCCGAACGCAAGCCCCGGGGAAGACAGGACCAGCCTGCTTATGCCCCCCACACAGGGCTGGCAGCAGGCCACACAGTGGCCTCTGAAAGCAGCTGCCTGGCTCTGGCCTGAACGTGCTTGGAGGCGGGGAGGGACAGAGCTGCCGCTGCTGCCTTCCCTAAGACGACCCGCCACCCCGGCGCCGGCCACTCTCCCGCCCCCAGAGCCCCCTCGCCTCCCAGCCCTTCCCGGGGAAAATCAGACTTCTCGTCCCTTAAGGACACCAGAGCTGGGGACAGTGCTGGTTCCTCCAACTCCCAGGGCCAGGCCCAGGGTCCCGCTCTGCAGCTGACCCAGCTGAAATGGCGGCTGCCCGTCTCGCCTTCACTCTTGGTCACGGTAATGGTGCTGGGGCCACTGTGCTGGCACCTGGGCCAGGGCAGAGGGCAGTGGTCAGGTGCAGGGAGGATGTCCCTACACTGCAGACCACCCCAACCCCTGTGACCATGTCCTTGTGACCAGTCAAGGATGCTACAGACGTGGACACAAGCGCAGAGCACCCTGTGTCGATTCACTCACTTTGCGAATCAACACAAATGGCCACACTCTGTACATGCCCCCACCCCGGCCTTCGCCCACTGGCTCGTAGGGCACGTTGCATTCAGCCCATGTAGAAATTCCTCGCCCTTGGAGGCTGCACAAGTCCCCCTTGTACGACTCATTTCCATTGATGTCCCTATTGATGGACATCTGTGTTGTTTTTCATTTCTGAGGAAGTGTCGCCAGCATTTGGGACGTGGCTCTTAACATTCCCTACTGAGCTTATCCCGCCTGTCACGCCCCCTCACGTGCATCCCGCTCAGCCTTTCTGCTGCAAGAATTTGTGGACTGTGACATACTTAGTGACCGCGGAGCATGGAGCCCACAGCTCTGCCGGTGCGATGGTGCTGTCTCCAAGCCGAGAGTGTGTGTGGGTGGCAGTCCCATTCCAAGGCTTGTGAACGGACGAGCGGGGCCTTCCTGGGGTGCGCCCCCTGCACGTGGGAGTGTGAGGCGCCGCCTGGCATAACCGTGCTGGAGTTTGCTTCCGTGACAGGTGCGCTCATGCTGCTCCCTTGCCCGGGCCTTACCCGAGAACACCTCCAGAGGGCGGCATGCTGTCATGTCTTCGGCTTTGGAACTCAGGCTCTCTGCATGCTTTGTGGCCCGTTTTTATTTGGAGTGGCCTGAGCTGTCCCACCTGGAGTGCAGCTTTGCCTGTGCCTAACCCATGTTGTGGGGGGCAGAGAAGGGGGGATTAGCCAGAATCCCCAGGCGCCACGTCCCTGCACCCCCTGCCCCCGGGCCAGTGTCCAGCCTGAGCACTGGGGACAGCGGCACACTCGCTAACCCGCCGCCACCCGGCGTTCCCCGCCCGGACAGTGACAGCTCCCAGGCCAGGCGGTGCCATGTTGTCCATGACGTACAGCGAGAGCCTGAGGAGCGTGAGCAGCAGGTGTCACTCGGACTGGGCCCTGCACCCCGTCCGCCAGACCGACACGCTGGAGCTACAGCGGCTGCGGGAGGTACGGGCGGCCGCCCAGGCCAGGAACATGGAGAGCTTCCTCCGCATGCACGGCCTGTCCCTGGACAGCTGCACTGCGCGGCGCACGGGCATGAAGTACCGGTAAGGGCCGCGCGGGGCCGGGCGGGGCGCACACAGCCGGGGCAGGTCCTGCGAGGGCCCAGGAGACCGGATACTCATGGCGCGTCGCGGTAAATCTCTGTGTCTAAAACTTGCAATCTCGTAGTAGAAACGTGTAAGCGAGGAGTTACTTTGTCATTGCGACGAAGTAACTATTAGGGGCTCACGACACAGGAATTAGTGACGAGGCCTTGTTTATCGTCTCGCTCGATCGGCAAATCCATCTAGAAACCCAGGGGCAAAGGTGTGCCCCGTTCTCATCCTAAAATTGGGCTGTCCTCGTGGGACATGGTCTGCAACAGGTGGCCTCTGGACTGGCTACTGTAGCTCTGGCAGCGAAGGCTGTGAGTTCAATGTCCGTGTTCTCTGGATGACAGGCACGCTGAGCTATTCGGAACCTCAGAAGGACGTCATTAGAAATCAGCATCTGGGACAGCACTCTGGCCGGCCCACTTTCTGCTCTGAAGGCATCGGAAAGGCTGGGGCCCCAGAGCTGCATTCTCGTTCATAAACTGCATGTTCGCTGCTATACCTTCCTTGAGCCTCCCAGGGACAGGCCCTCGCCAGAGCCAGTAGGCCAGCGGGGACCCTCTCTGCCCAGTCTCTGGACCGCTGCCGGATTTACCAAATAAAAATACGGGATAAGGATGTCCCCTGCAACATTTGGAGCATCCTTATACGGAAAATATATATATATTCATTGTCTAGGTGAAGTTCAGATTGAACTGGGTGTCCTATATTTGGCCTGACACCCTCAGAATTTGGCTCCCACCTAACAGAAGCCCTGGGGTTACCTGGCTGGTCTCTGGAGAGTAGAGCGGAGACCGGCCCTGCGGCTTTAACATTTTCTGCTAAGGACAATGCTTTTGGCTCATTGTTTGACTAAAGTGCCTGTGGTTTAAAGAAACAGAACAGTTCTGCCCGGATCCATGAGCTGGCAGAATCCCGACGCTCTGTAAGTCCAGCTGTATGAGGAGGACAGAGGGTCAGCTAGTTGGCCCCAGCGAGCACCTCATTCTGATGGAAATTTCTCAAGAGGGAGAGGAGACACTGCATTTTTCTTTTTTCTGGCTAGTCATTGGTACTTTGCATTAATTCAGCCAATGTTTGTGGAAGGTCGACATGGCTGCAGGCAACCAGCAAGATGCGGTTTGAACTGGACTAACCGAGTCCCCACCCTAAGCAGTAAAGGAGGCCAGGACAGCTGAGACCCGACCATCTGAAGGCGGCCACTTGAAAATGTGGGAAGAACCTTCCAGGCCAAGGGTTAGGGGCATGTCTGAGGAGAGGAGCAGGCAGAAGGCATGAGGCAGGCGGGGGCTAGAGCCTGCGGAGAGCCCAGCTCCCTCCACTGTGGATACGACTGGGGTGAACTGTGTCCCCCAAAACCTCACGTCTACCTAGCACCTCAGACTGTGATCTCATTCGGACATAGAGTCTTCACAGATGTAATTAATTAAGATGAGGTCACCGTGGAATGGGGTGGGCCTTCAGTCCAATGACTGGTGTCCTTATAAAAAAGCCGTGTGAAGACACACGTGGAAGAGGGCATGGGACAGCGGAAGCAGAGACTGGAGCACTGTGACCACCATGTGACCACAAGCCGAGGATGCCTGCAGCCCCCCGACGCCAAGAGAGGCAGGAAGGACCGTCCCCTAGAGCGCGTAGAGGGGTCCCAGCCCTGCCGACTCCTTGACCCCAGACCTCTGGGAGAGAACTCACTCCTGTTGTTCGAAGCCCGTTGTTATAGACTGTTGTTCGAAGCCCGTTGTTATAGACACCCCGAGAGGCTCACACGAGCAGGGAGACAGGGACAAAGCTCTCAT